TTTTGCATATTTACTGCTTTGAGTGAGTAGACTGCATTTTTAATCTGATGTGAATGACAACAAGGAAATGAAGGATTTAGGTAGGATTTAGGTCTGTTTAATAGGCTGTACAGTTTTAAGGTCACATCTAAAGTGTGCTCATGCATATTGTTTTTGGTCTACTGGAATTTTTTGGAAAGTATTTTGATAGATTTGTTGGCTGAACACCCAGAAGCACAACAGTACAACCAATCGAAAGGGCTGTACTTCCAATCCTTGTAGCCTTATAGCCATGTCAGACTGTTTACTCCAAATTAGTGGTTTTGTGTATTCCGTTACCAATGGTGATTTGTTTATTTGTTGAATGTTTACATGTACAAGTACTGTTAACCACTTAGTATTGCTTCCCTTTCTGTAGACACAAAACGCAAGCGATTTGAGAGTGCATCATTAGATAACTTCAGAATTATTCAATATTTAGCCCTAGTCCAATCTAGTCTAATATTTTAGTAATTTGGACAAATATTTGGACAAACACCGAAATGTATGAACATACTGTAATGACAGCAACAAAAATGTGAAATTATTTACAAATATATTAGGGCTGTCAAGCGATTAAAATTTTTAATCTAATTAATCACATCCTTTTTCTGTGATTAATCGCGATTAATCACACACTTCATGAAATTAAGCATAGACCATTTATCTTGTTTATTTTGTCATAATTTGCTATATCCAGCAAAGTAAACCAAAAGATTGAAGGGTGATTCTCAAAAATCTATATTTTCTGCAAGCTTTTTTCAAGATAAATGTAGATGTCTTTCCAAAAAAGGACACTTAGAAACTCCAAAAGGACACCAAAGAACCAAATGATATAAGGAGCCCATATAAGCACATATGAAAGAAAAAAAAATCTGAATATTATAGTATGTGTACAGTGCAACAGCAAATAGCTTTTTTTACATTTTAGAGAAGCCAAGTTGCTATACCGAACAGGACCACATGGAGATGCCAAACAAAAAAAACTAAACCAACCGCCTGCTGACTGAATTTATCTACTACAGTACACGGATCCATTCAGTATAACTAAACATATATCTACTACAGTACACGGATCCATTCAGTATAACTAAACATATATCTACTACAGTACACGGATCCATTCAGTATAACTAAACATATATATACTACAGTACACGGATCCATTCAGTATAACTAAATGTATATCTACTACAGTACACGGATCCATTCAGTATAACTAAACATATATCTACTACAGTACACGGATCCATTCAGTATAACTAAACATATATCTACTACAGTACACGGATCCATTCAGTATAACTAAACACAGCAACATAAACATGACAAATCAAAACATTATCGTGAATGTGTGTGGAAACTACATGAATGTAGGGAAATGACTGTGCCTGTGCATAAATACAATGTGCAACCAGTAATGCGTGTGCACTTATACACGCATTATTATAACGGACTCACGCGTGCTTACTGTACGACTCCTGTAAGCCACCGCAATCATCTTTACCTTGATTGCAGTCTTCATCCATCAAAACTTTACTAGCGAGACTGGTTATCCGGTCGAGAAAACGTAATTTGCGTCTCATCTGGCTATACAGCGGTGGGATGTGTTGACAATCTGTTCAGTCTGTACTTCACACAAGCGTGTGACGTGTGAGGGCTCGCGCTCTTCAGAGACAATCACAGAATATGACAGAGCTCGTGTTTTAAAGCCAAACACACTGGAATGAATAATTCACTGAAAAAGCACCGCGTGTCTCTGTTCTCTCTGCAATCTCTGATGTAATCAGCCTGGTTTCCTTTATATTAGCGCTGTTTTGGATGGATTGTTTGAATGCATTCGCTTACTGGATCATTGGACTGAAAACTTTTGGGTCATTAGACTGAAAACTTTCCGAATTATCTAATCGCAAGCAGAGAAGCAAAATTGGGTTAAAGGGTTAGTATAGAAATTGTGCTTCAGTAATTTTGCGTTAATTGCGTTAAATTATTTTAACACGTTAAGGATTGTAAAATGAATCGCATGCGTTAACGCGTTAACGATGACAGCCCAAATATACAGTATATATATATATATTCGAGCTGGGTGATATGTCCAAAAGAAATATCACAATATTTTTTTTTCATATCAGTTTATATCGATAATTATCACGATAAATGTCAAATCTTTATTTCTTTCAAGTTTAAAGCTAGATTTTTTTCTCCAAAGTGAAAGTTGTAGAAACCAGACCATTAATTTGGGCTCATTATAATGATTTAACAAAATAAATATCTAAATAGAAAAATGTATTTCTTAGTTTCTGCATGTTCTAATGAGTGATATTGTTTCAAATAAAGAAACAATTTAGGGTTGCCTAACAAAATAAATATCTAAATAGTAAAATGTATTTCTTAGTTTCTGCATGTTCTAATGAGTGATATTGTTTCAAATAAAGAAACAATTTAGGGTTGCCTGATAATATTAATAATAATAATATCACTTTTTTGTCTCTTAGAAATGCACATTTAATAGTAGCTTGAGTTAGGATGCGGAGGTAAATATTTGTTCATTATCAAAATCAGTAACATCTGTAAAAATTGTAGCAATCTCTGTTTTATATGGTTACATTTATTCGGACCAAGTTTTTTTATTCGGACCCCACATACGCACGACCGGAAGAAGCGGAAGCAGTCGACTGTGGCATAATAAAAGCTCAGCTGCTTTTCCCCACATACGCACGACCGGAACGAGCGGAAGCAGTCGACTGTGGCATAATAAAAGCTCAGCTGCTTTTCCCCACATACGCACGACCGGAACGAGCGGAAGCAGTCGACTGTGGCATAATAAAAGCTCAGCTGCTTTTCCCCACATACGCACGACCGGAACGAGCGGAAGCAGTCGACTGTGGCATAATAAAAGCTCAGCTGCTTTTCCCCACATACGCACGACCGGAAGCAGCGGAAGCGGTCGACTGTGGCATAATAAAAGCACAGTAGTCTAAAAACACTGTGTAAATGGCTGAATTCAAGCGCTTCACACTGGATCTCACAGTGCTGCTTAGCGCTCACGGGACCTAGTAAACACATTTGCTCTAGTGAGCTCGCGCCACGTGGCAGTTTGAACTTTGATCTGAGTGGATAAACGGTCCGTGTGGCGCTGTTTTGTACCGCTTTTGGCATATAAACATTATATCGAACATTTATCAAACTCCTCATATCTTTTTATCAAGGAAAATTATATTGCGATAATTATTGTTATTGAATTATCTCACAGCCCTAATATATATATATATATATTAGTGCTGTCAAATGATTAATCGTTATTAATCACATTTAAAAATAAAAGTTTTTGTTTACATAATGTATGTGTGTGTACTGTATATATGTATTATGTATATATAAGTACACACACATGCATGTATATATATTTAAGAACAATTGTATGTTTATATATAAAATATATTTATATATAAAATAAAATAATATAAATATATAAATGTATATACATGTAAATATTTTCAAAATATATACTGTATGTGTGTGTATTTATATATACATAATAAATAAACACAGTACACAAACATATATTATGCAAATAAAAAGATTAATCGTTTGACAGCACTAATATATATATATATATATATATATATATATATATATATATATATATATTTTTATTTTTTTTTATTCTTTGTATTGTATTTATATTATAAATATATTTGAATTGCTTTGTTTGTTATGCGTTAAATAATGTGATTGGCATATGCCGTTATATAATATTTACATTTGAATTGTCTGTGCAAACACACATTATGCAATGGCATCAAAATGTATTTAAAATGTATTTGGACACTTAAGCAAGTAAACAAACCAAACAAAGAAATTAATTTGCATTAAATAACAAAAATATCAAAATAAGTGGCATTCTTTTAAGGAAATATAGCGCTGTTACGGGGCTGACGAGACGTGAGACGTGCGGATCCATATGCAAAGCTTTATTGAGCAGAGAGGTCAGAAACACAGGCAGGGTCAAACAGTGGCAACCAGGTATATGGCGGGCAAGACACAAGAATAGTCCTAGGGCTAGCATAGGTCGATGAATGGCAAACAGAATCAGAAGGGGCAAGACTAAGGGAGAAATCCAGGAAACCAGGCGAAGATCAGAAACTGAGAAAACGGCTAAGGCTAAGGCTGGGAAACTAATGAGGGCTCTGTAGTGTAGCTATCTAAAGATATGCGCTAAACAATACTCGGCCGAGGGAAGGGATCAGAGTGAGTGTTAAATAGTGAGGGAGTGATATGAAACAGCTGGGTGCAATCAGTGTTGTGCAATTAGTGAACCAGCTGTGTGCAATCAGTGCTGTGAATGATGGGATATGTAGTCCGGGGATGTTTTAGAATATGAAAACATTAAATATTTTGTTCAGAACAAAGACAGAATGTATTTGACACTTTCTGGGTGTCAAACGTTGTGGAAAATGTTTATAGTTAACTTGACTTCATACCTGCACAAAAAAAAATTACCCTGACACCAATCATTTATTAAGCCTTAGTTAGTTTAAAAAAAAAACGTTTGCCTCATTTGTTTACAGATGCCACTTTGATTTATGTATCGCTATGTGTGTCTAATTCAATGATTTTTAGATATTTTAAGTGTGACTTTAGTGTCCAAATATTTCCGGGCCCTCTGTACATCATCAATTTATGTAAAATACATGAAAATACTCATGAGATCACATTGCCTCAGCATCCAAAATTTCACAGTCAGTAGGTTTTCTTAATAGCAGGTTATATTGATCTTGATGTGAGACTTATTTAGGCGTTGAATATCTACAGATTTGACTATATTTGTTGTGCTACAATTGATTTGTTATGAAAGTACTGTGCGTTAGGTAGATATGATCAACTCCATTATGATCTCAGTTCAGCTTCAGATCTGTTTTGCCCAAATTTTTGAGATTCAAAGCTCACTGAAAGGCCATTTTGAGCCAGAAGCAAAAATAGTTTTGTGTTGGAAAGAGGATGTTTTCTTTTCCACGGCTACAGAGAAAGAGAGAAAGGAGTGAGAGAATGGAGGGATGAGATTGGAATGTCTTTACAACTGGCAGAAAAACTCCTCCGAAGTTTGACATGGCTTCAGATCAGAATAGCTTCATTGCCACTGCTGCAGCTCTAGGCTTGTGTTTGTTGGCCTTGCCATCACATTGTTTCATGACAGCGATCAGATGTAAAATAAATAGTGCCAAAAGCTATTTCCTGGATTCTAGTTGGAGATATTTTTAGTATGACCAAAAAAGGCAAAGAGCAAAGAACCTTAGCAGCTGATCTCTCCTAGTACATCCAGAGAAAAACATCTCTCCCCATCTCTCTCATCATTCTGCCCTCCCTTCTTCAAGTTTTCTAAACGTGAGAGTGCATGTTGTCTCAGATACTCTATGAGTAGATCTGCTGGTCAATGTTAACATGTGTGTGTTTGTGTGACTTGAAACCTGAAGGTATATCAAATGCGAACTAATTAAGGATGAAGTACCGCCAGTTGGTCAATATCATGATTACAGCAATTCATATAAATCCCCATATCTGACTTGTGATGCAGCCTGGAATTAATATGACACATGTTTGCTCATTTATACCAGAGAACTTGATTTGTTGGATGGTTCACAATCACTTCTCTGGACTGAGGTTGTATATTGAGCTTATTTTCTTTGTTAACTGTGATTTGATAATCTGAACTGTGTTTATTTCTTCTGTTATTCATTTCAGATGAGGCCAAAATAAAGAAACCCCCACCCAAAACGCTTCCTAAACAAGGTAGGGTCAAATCAATCACCATCTGCATGGTTTAAAGATAAATTCTGGGTTAAATAACTGTCTGTGTGTATTTCTGTCACATGCTGTTGATTGCAACAGAAAATAATTTAGTCCTTTTTGTTGTAAAAAAGGTACTTTATTTGAAGGTGTCCTTGTCACACGTTACATGTACTTACTATTATAATAACAATAAATGATGCATACTTACATGCAAGTAACCCTAATCCTAACACTAACCATATAGTAAGTACATCTAGTTAATTAATATTACTCAGTACTTAAATGTATAATTACACTGTAACAAGGACACCTTAAAATTAAGTGGAACCTAAAAAAATACCTACCAATGAGGTAAGAAAAATAATCTTAATTACAAAGAGGAAACAAGATTTATTTATGGTTTTTGCCCAATAGGCAGATTTGTTTTCTTTTTTTTAAAGCAAAAATCAACAATTTTGTTAGGTTTTTAGAAAACAAGACTCAATATCTTAAGTCATTTTGCTTCTCAAATAACATATTCAAGATTCAAGAATGCCGAGGTATTTATACTAAAACAACAAGACAAAAATGAAAAAGTATGAACATCATTTTTGCAGTGTATACCAAGTTACTGAGTTACTGACAGAGATCGATTAGAATTGCAATGTATGAGCAGAAGTTCCTCCATCAAAATGATGATTTAGATCGTGCATCTAAAAAGCATGTTTATGGCAAATTACAGATGTTTTTGAAACGTTTGATCCTGGAACAGTTTTAGCATTTAAGTCTTTTTAGCATTTAGTTTCCCAAAAGTCATTTAAAATTTCAAGCTCATGTGATTTGATGTGTTTCAGGAGGAGCACAGGTGATCTTCTCATAGCAGCGCATACTTTAAATCTCACTTTTATATTTTCTACACCGTCTGCTGTGCAGTTGTTCAATGCATTTCTAACTGCTGTGCAAGCAAACGGATCAGAGCCCAAGCTGTCTGTATAACTGGGCTGTGTGTGTCAGGTGCTCCTCCTCAGATCCAGCAGTTCCCTGATGATATGAAGATCCTGGCGGGTCAGGAGGTCAGTCTGCTGTGTCAGTTCACTGGAGCTCAGCCCATCAGCTGCACCTGGCTCAAGTTCCGCAAACCAGTAAGAGTCCTTTCACCTTTTAACATGTGCAGAAACCCTGACCGAGAGAGAAGCACTGCTGAATGCTCAGAATTAAACACGCAGATGCACATTCATTCACTCACCAGTCTCCTTTAAATGCTTCCAACATGCTGCTATTTCAAATCGACTTTGGACTGGGATGTCCAAAAATGCTGTCTAGGTAGGCAGCTCACAGCTTTTCAGAAACAGCCATCATCTTTAATGAGCAAACACTGCAAGCTGGCAAATCACTCTGTACACATGGCTCAGACACAACATGTTAGTTGTAAACATCTTTATTACTCTCATTTTTGTTTTCCAGTTAGTTGACTTTCTAATTGAAACTGAACATGCAACTCTCAGGTTGTGTTCAAATCTCTATACCACTTGTGGTGTTTTCGGTCCAAATGCACAAAATATAGCTTAGAAATCTCTTGTTATGCAATATTATGACCTAATATTGGTATTAATGTTTTTGTCAGCTTGTCTTCTTTCAATTAGGACTGGTTTTGTGTTTATTTTTGGAACTGATTCATCGTAGGCCTCATTAATCTGATCTTCCATCAGTTTTTGAGTGAAAAAATTATTTGTGTTATTTGTGGATAATTTTGTCAATATTAAAATATGAAAAAAATTGGCGGTGTTTATCACACTAGCATGCGCTAATGTTTAACCAAGAAATTTGTTTTGAAAAGCTTTTATTGTACAACATTTCAAAACAATTGCAAAAAAAATCACACTTGTGGTGTTTTCGGTCAAAAGTGACCGGCCTACAAAAAATAGCTTATGAATCTCTTGTTATGCAATATTATGACCTAATATTGGTATCAATCTTTTTTGTCAGCTTGTCTTCTTTCAATTAGGACTGGTTTTGTGTTTATGTTTGGAACTGATTTATCGTAGGCCTCATTAATCTGATCTTACATCAGTTTTTGAGTGAAAAAAGCATTATTTGTGAATAATTTTGTCAATATGAAAAAAAATTGTGGTGTTTATCACACTAGCATGCTCTAATGTTTAACCAAGAAATTTAGGTAACACTTTAGAATAGGGAACACTTATTCACTATTAACTACAACTTTTCCCTCAATAAACTCCTAATTTGCTGCTTATTAATAGTTAGTAAGGTAGTTGTTAAGTTTAGGTATTAGGTAGGACTACGGATGTAGAATAAGGTCATGTAGAATAAGGCTTTAATATGTGCTTAATTAGTACTAATAAATGGCTAATATTCTAGTAATATGCTTGCTAATAAGCAACTAGTTAAGAGACCCTAAAATAAAGTGTTACCGAAATTTGTTTTGAAAAGCTTTTATTTTGTACAAAATAAAAAAATAAAATAAAAAAAAATCACACTTGTGGTGTTTTCAGTCAAAAATGACCGGCCTACAAAAAATAGCTTATGAATCTCTTGTTATGCAATATTATCACCTAATATTGATATCAATCTTATTATCAGCTTTCTACTAGGACTGGTTTTGTGTTTATTTTTGGAACTGATTCATTGTAGGCCTCATTAATCTGATCTTACATCAGTTTTTGAGTGAAAAAAGCGTTATTTGTGTATAATTTTGTCAATATTAAATACAATCTGCATTGTTTATCACACTAGCATGCTCTAATGTTTAAAGTAGCTTATGTCTGCAACTGGCACCAGTGTTTGTGTTGTTTATGCACACCTCTGCTCCTTCAGATTCAGGAAGGTCAGGGCATCTCGGTAGTGAGCACAGACAGCAGCAGTCAGCTGACCATCACAGAAGGACAGCAGGAGCACTGTGGCTGCTACACCATCGAGCTCAAGAACAGCTGCGGCGTGAGACAGGCCGCCCTCAACCTCACTATAGTCGGTAAGTGTGGACGCTAGTGGGCGTAGAATTAGGGTGGATGCTATAGTGACAAGTCCCTACCAATATCCAGTGACTACCAAACTGTCCTTAGCAATAATTTTGATCAAACAAATAAATATGTTTTTTTGTCATTTCGGACGCATCTGAAACCATACCATTGATATTACCAAATAAGTTAAAGTAAATACATTAGAAAACTGCATGCTTTCAAGCACGCAGATTTAATACATGGGCAGAGTAAGAATATAAGGCAGTCGCAGCGTTCAGAAAAACAGTTAACATAAAAGCTCACTTAAGGAATTAACAAAGTTGCATCGATTAAATATGGTGTTTGACAAAACAGAGCAAACGGAAAGAGAAAGCACGATCTATTAGCTCTCTAGGCTATATAAAGCATATGAACAGAAAGACAAACGTTGTGCTAAAAGATGCACAATGCACAATCTTCCAGCCTAGGATAAAGGCATTATGTACATTAACTATAATTTGCGGCAAGTATAATGTGATTTTCAGTGTTGTGGAAAGTTACTTTTAAAAGTAATGCATTACAGTAACGAGTTACTCCCTAAAAAAAGTAACTAATTGCATTACTTAGTTACTTTTTATGGAAAGTACTGTGTTGTGTTACTTTTGGGTTACTTTTTCTCATCTGGACTGGGCTTGCTTGTATGTTTTTTTTTATATAAAAAGTTAATTTTTGGCATATGTCAAAGCCCTTTCACACCAAAAGTGAAATAAATAAGCCTCAGGCTGAAGGAATTGTTAATTCAATTGTTAACATATTTAATTATTGCAGGTTTGCGTCATATTCTGAGTTCGCATTTCATTTTTAGGACTATTAAATCTGTCTTTGTGAAAGTGAGATGAGTAATTGCATGTTCATATTTAAAGCTACAGTAACCATCGTGTGGTTTGTTAGGAAAGGACAATATTTGGCCGAGATACAACTATTTGAAAATCTGGAATCTGAGGGTGCAAAAAAAATCTAAATATTGAGAAAATCACCTTTAAAGTTGTCCAAATTAAGTTCTTAGCAATGCATATTACTAATCAAAAATTAAGTTTTGATATATTTACAGTAGGAAATTTACAAAATATCTGATTATTTTTACTTAATATCCTAATGATTTTTGGCATAAAAGAAAAATCTATAATTTTGACCCATACAATGTATTGTTGGCTATTGCTACAAATATACCCCAGTGACTTAAAACTGGTTTTGTGCTCCAGGGTCACATTTGACCTTAAGCCTCAGTCTTGGTTTTACGTGCATCTTTAAAGACAAAATTGACAATCTACTTATAGAAAGTCGACTGTTTCCTCTGTTACATCCATACAATGCTGGGCTGAAATGCTGCACATGTAGGTGATCTGACTACTTTAGTACATTTTAGGACACAATGTCTCACAATCCAGCCTCTGTCTTGGTCTTCCCAGATAAGCCCGACCCTCCTGCTCGTGTCCCGGCATCCTCAGACATCCGTAAGTCCAGCCTCACACTGTCCTGGTACGGGCCGACAGACGACGGCGGCAGCGCCGTCCAGTCCTACAACCTGGAGACGTGGAGCTCTGTGGACATGAAGTGGACAGATCTGGCGTCCTGTAACAGCACCTCCTATAACGTGCAGAACCTGCTTCCAGACAGGCAGTACAAGTTTCGAGTGAGAGCGGTGAATATTTATGGTGTGGGAGAGCCCAGCGCTGAGTCTGCACCCGTGCAGGTGGGGCTGGAGGCCGAGGAGGGGGAGCGCCACCTAGAGGATATCAAGAATATTACAGGAGCCACAAAGAATGGATTACAATCTTTTGGTTACTGCATTTGGTTATTTCAGTTAAAATAAAAATAGACAAATAAATAAAATAAAGTAAAATCTAAAATTGATATAAAAAAAATAAAATGTGCTGTAATAACAGTCTGTTGCTTTTACAGAAAATAAAGATGAAGCTGAGCCTTCAGATGATGGTATGTGTCATGTTTGTGAAATGTAATCTTTGAAATCGTAAGTGTCAAGTTTCTGTGCTCTTTTTTTTCTGTTTCCCTCTTTCATTTAGAGGAGATGGTGAGGTTGTACATATAACCAAACGTGTCAAATAGAACATATGTACTGTATGTGAAAAAGAGGGGGGGGGGCTACAGAAAAGCATTGCACTGTAAATCTTTAACAATTGCATAGTTCATATTATTTTCAAGTGTTTACTTTTAGTTTCCAAATACATGTCTTCAATTGTTCAAACTTATGCATTTTTCAAATCATCTGACCTTATGAATATAAGCGCATTTAATAATTAAATCAAAAACTAAAAATGAACTACCTTAGCTTTTTTGTAAATAATTATCCCAGAATAATAATAATTTTATGGGTATCTTTACAAAAAACACTGCCGTCATGTTGATGTGTATTTCTCTCATGCTAGTAATCAGAGTCAGAGAGGTCATAAAACGTGTGCTGTTAGAATATGATATTTCATTCTGAATTACTACAGGAAGGTTTTTCAGAACCCTTGAGGAAAATAAGAGTTAAATATTGCAATTTGACAGATTATAGACAATCCAGAATGACTGGGATTCATTCCCTCTCTTTTCAGAATCAGAGAAGGGACCGGATTACAGAAATGTGACGATCGGGACAGACGTGAAGGTGAAGGACCTGTATGATGTGGAAGACAGACTGGGCACGTGAGTATGATAAATTAGCATCTGTTATTTGATATTACCTTACACCATAAAGGAAACAGTAATAACATTCTGCTGGCGTCCTTCTACTTTGCGGTTGTCCTATAATCTGTCTAAAACAAATGCAAAAACAGATGTAAATTTCCTGTAAGAAAACAGGATCTGGACATTTTCATTTTTTCAGTCTTATTTCTTTTTCTTTCTTTTTTTAGAGGGAAATTCGGGACTGTTTTCAAACTGATAGAAAAGTCCACATCCCCCTGCTCTGCACACGCTCTGCATCTCTCTCAGTCAGCTCAGCTCCAACAATGAACTGTTCCAATTATACACTTATTTTCACATAGCTATGAGAAGCATTAAACATGGACGTGCGTGCAGTTGCCGAACTGTATTAAAGCTTTAATCAGGATAAAACTGTATATTAAAAGCTAACATAAGCAGTAGCTGATGCCGTTGTTTGCAATACAACCAGAGCACATGCCGCTGAGGTGAGGGGTGGGTCGTTTAGACGCACACTAGAGGCGGTTTAGCCAATCACAACACACTGGACTAGCTAACCAATCAGAGCCCATCGCCTATTTCTGAGGGAGGGGCTTCATAAAAGAAGGAAATGATCAGCCTGTTTCTCAGAGAAGGGAGAGAGCGGTCTGGAATAAAGGTAAATTATGTGAAAAATAATGCGTTTTTTAAAAAACGAAGCATTAACACATGTTAGACTGCACCCCATAAACACAATCAAGCCTAGAAAAAAACCCAGTGAACCACCCCTTTAATTGATTTCTTTGAAATATATTTAAAGTGTATTGTCAAATGTACTGACAAGCATTTAAGGTAAACTAAAATATAAATTAATGTCATTTCTATACAAACCTGAAGTTGCAATTTAGTACATTTTAATTGAATTAACATTAAATATAATATCCTATAACACACTATAGTTGATATTATAATTGAGCACTTTACATGTGCTTTAGTATGTTAGTCAACACATCAAAATAAGTGTACTTGCTTAAGGCACAACAACTGATTATTAAAACAATGATTTAAAATGTACTTTAAAAGTAAAACGTAAATTTGGCTTTATTACAAAATGCATGTTTAAAAAAGTGTACTTAAATGGGTTAAGAAACATAGTCGTGACGTTTTCATTATTATAATGTTTTTTGCAAGTACAGTTTTATTTAAAAAGACAAGTGCACATGCGGTACAGTTAAGATCACTTCTTTTCCACAAGGGTGATCATCCCACACCATTTCACGACATTGTTTGGGAAGAATGTTGAAGTTGAATGAGAAGAAAGTGTGAGCTTTCGCTTAGCTTTCCTTTCCTGAAATGGAAATCACCTCTGCAAGGCGTTTGCCATTTTTCTTTAAGAAAATAGAGTAATACAACAGCCCCTCATGAGTGCTATTTTGTTATCTTTTTTTAGTCTTTTTTTATCAGCTATCAGAAAGATGTGGCTGTAGATCTATTGTGTTTGTCTGTGCTTTCTGTCAGTTATCCAGTGTTATCCAGAATAATGATGTCTTCCTGGTGTGACTATTCATTTACTTTCATTAGTGTAACCCAATGAAGTCAGTGAAAGTAGTAAATCCAACAATGTCTACTGCATCATATTTGATATGCAAATATATAAGATCTTAAAATTATCTACAAGAAAAAAAAGTACTTTTTTAACAAGTAAACAGCCTTTTAGTAGCCTATAATTGTACAAAAGTCCCCCTTCAGGTTGTCTTTTTGTTGTGAAATCACATTCGAATATTTCCTTTTTCTTTTTTTTAGCAAATTTGATATATAATAAGTGTCAAATATACTACTATATGAGGCATACGCCTAATGGTTTGTATAGTTCTTCTTTCATTGTTTCTTGTTCTCTTTAGCGTCAGTGGTTTGTCTCCCTTCATGGGGGACAATGACAACGAGACGCTGTCTAACGTGACCTCAGCGACGTGGGACTTTGAGGACGAGGCGTTTGATGAGATCTCAGACGAGGCCAAAGACTTTATCAGTAACCTGCTGAAGAAAGACATGAAGTGAGTGCCTTCAGAAATCACTTGAAAAAAAGAACTGTTGCCTTGTCCTTGAGTCATGTTGAATGTCTGATTTAGCTGATTTCCTCCGTCTTGCGTCACGCATCGGTTCTCCCTGAGGTGCAGCAGTAGGGTTCGGTTCTCTGTCAGAGATCATGCATTTTCTTTTTTACGGTTTCATCAGTTTATTTTTCTCAGAGTGTTATTAACGTGACGCACAGTTACAGTGTGCTCTTGTCTGCAGAGCTCGCCTGAGCTGCGATCAGTGTTTCCAGCACCCCTGGCTCAAACAGGACACCACCAATATGGAGACCAAGAAGCTTTCCAAAGAGAGGATGAAGAAATACATTCTGAGAAGAAAGTGGCAGGTCAGGAGCTAAATGATAATCATCTGACATAAAATGTTGGTTTTTCTCCTTGCGTTATTGATAGTCTGATTGAAATGAGCTTCTTGCGGTGTGTTCTGTTACTGATGTGTTAGTGAATAAAGTCATAAATGCTTTGCTCACTCTTCTCCAGAAAACAGGGCACGCGGTACGAGCTATCGGTCGACTGTCTAACATGGCATTGTTGGCAGGCGTTCATGCCAAAAAGAGCTCCCCCAATGAAGGTGCACGTTTCTGTCCTCACCAACCCTTGCATAAAAGACTAATACTGACTCAGCTAGTGAACTGTCAGCAGTTGAAGAAGTGTGCGTACTGAAAATATGTGCACTTGTGTACTGCACATGTCAATCTTAAGATAATGTCACATTTTCTGTACTATAATATTAATGAAATTGAAGACCACTTAAGCGTAGAGCATACTTTCATGACTGTTTTTTTAATATACTTAATATTGCTTTTAAAAAGTGCACTTTTAGTCAAATTACAAACAATTCAAATTCAATTCACAAGACATTTTTAGATTTTAGTACATTTTAAATCATATTTTAATAATGTTATGTCATGCTTTAAAGAAGTATACTACTTATACTATCTATTGCACATGTAAAGTAAGTACTTAGATTGCTAATGTAATTATAATTTTAACTGTAGTGTTATTCAGAATTTTAAAATATATTTGAAATGTATTTCATCATTTTACAGTTTGTTTACTCATTACAGTTTATTCATTATAAATGTGTAATTACGAATATATTTGAATACATGACATACAAGTTTTTAATAGAAATTACATTAAATTATATGTTAGTGTACCTTACATGCTTATCAGTACGTTCAGCAAGGCACTTTAACCATATTTATGACCCTGTACCACAAAACCAGTCTTAAGTGTCAATTTTTCGAAATTGAGATTTATACAGCATCTGAAAGCTGAATAAATAGCTTTCCATTGATGTATGGTTTGTTAGGACAATATTTGGCCAAGATACAACTATTTGAAAATATGGAATCTGAGGGTAAAAAAAAAATCGAAATATTGAGAAAATCATCTTTAAAGTTGTCCAAATGAAGTTCTTAGCAATGCATATTACTAATCACAAATTAAGTTTTGATATATTTACGGTAGGAGATTTACAAAATATCTTCATGGAACATGATCTTTACTTAATATCCTAATGATTTTTGGCATAAAATAAAATCTATAATTTTGACCCATACAATGTATTGGACATTAAGACTTAAGACTGGTTTTGTGCCCCAGGGTCACAATTATGAGATTAGTAAGTACTCTAATTGCATTTAATATTCACAATTAATTTTAAACAACATGCAATGAAGTGTCTGAAAACGTTACATTCAATTCACACTTACTGTAAGATTTATTATTTTCTATTATTTTATGTTTAAGTATGCTGAAATATACCTCTCTTTCACAAGGAGATTAGATTATTAACCTGGTTAGTATTGTTAAAACTGCAGCCCACTTTAGAGAGTTATCATACTATATGTCTTGTATTAAAAGTGGTGTTCTGCACTCTTCCCTAGGTTTAAAACGAGTTGTGAAAATTAAATTTAAAGTCTTTAACATGAGTATTTATATCCAAAACCTTGTCTGTCGCAACAGAGGATAAACAGTTTGCTGCTGAATTGGAGGAGAAAACTCGAATGAAACCCACGTTCAGTAATGTTATTAAAGATGTTGAGGTGGTGGAAGGCAGTGCTGCTCGGTTCGACTGCAGAATCGAAGGTAAAATAATACGACTATGTACTGCTTAAACATTCTATTGATAAAGTCTGGTGCACTGATTAAATGTGAATAAAAGGGGTGAAATAAAGTTTTAAATGTTGACTTTCCAGCATGCTTAATACTTTGTACCAAATGTGTGGAACAGCCCACAACCATTTTCCAGTTCTATAAATATTATGAATAGCATTTGCTTTTGAAAACTAAATGTGAAAAAAAAACACTTTCTACTATCCTTTTGTACATTTGCATTATATTTAGTGCCGCTAGACACGCATAGACACGCTTCATCTTTAAGTGCACTACACTGTTAGACATTTCAAAGGGTTTTTACAGTAACTTACTGGCAACACTGTTGCCAGTAAGTTACTGTAATTAAGATTTACAGTAGCAAACTGTATTTGGTTTACAGTTGCAAAATGTATTTGGTTTAGTTGCAAACTGTACTGTTTTACAGTAAATTACTGTAAAAATTTCAATTCATCAGTATACTACTGTAATAGTACTATTAAAAGGTTTATGCTGGTAAGATGTTTTAATGTTTTTAATAGGAAGTCTCTTATGCAGTAAAAACAGTAATATTATGAAATTATATTACACTTTAAAATAACTGTTTTCTATTTGAATATATTTAAACATGTTGTTTATTCCTGTGATGCGAATCTGTAACGGGGCTAACGAGACGTGAGACGTGTGGATCCATCTGCAAGCTTTTAATAGAGAGAGACGTGGTAAACAGGCAGGGTCAAACAATGGCAAACAGGTATATGGCGGGCAAAACACAAGAATAGTCCTAGGGCTAGCGTAGGTCACCGATCGGCAGACAGAATCACAGGGGCGAGACGAGAGGGAAAAAAAACAGGAAAACAGGCAAGGCAAAACAAGGAAACCACAGAGACTCGGAAAGGGGTACAGGCTAAACAATACTCAGCAGAGAAAGGTGGTTAGAGTGGGTGTTATATAGTGAATGAGGTAATTAGAAACAGCTGTGTGCAATGAGTGCAATCAGGGCAGTGTGCAAATTGTGCAAAGAATGATGGGAAATGTAGTCCGGGGTGCTATGCAACAGTTTGTGTAGTGCGAGAGTCAATGTAATGGAAAGTGTGACCTCTGGTGGTGAATAAACGGAAGTCCATGAACCGAATTCGTGACAGAAGCTGTATTGTCAGCATTATTACTCAGTGTCACGTGATCCTTCAGAAACCATTCTTGCTGCTCAAGAAACATTTCTGATTATTACTATCAATGTTGGAAACAGTTGTGTTGCTTATTATCTTTGTGGAAACCATCATGCAAAAGAACAGCATTCATTTGAAATAGAAGTGTTTTATGTTTTCGTTTTGATGTGTCTTTGCTAAATAAAATGTCAAATCTGTTGGCAATCATGCATTTATTTTAAGTTATTTATATATTTTAATATGCATATTTTGTAACTGTTTACTCTCAGGTTATCCTGACCCTGAGGTGGTGTGGTATAAGGACGACCAGCCGATTAAAGAGACGCGCCATTTTCAGATCGATTATGACGAAGATGGAAATTGCAGTCTTGTTATTTCTGAGGTCAGCGGTGATGATGACGCAAAGTACACCTGCAAGGCCATGAACAGCGTCGGGGAGGCCAGCTGCACCGCCGAACTCATCGTGGAGGTGATGGGACGAGAGGAGGAGGAGGAGGAGGAGGAGGAGG